GACAGGACAAGGGGCAATGGGCACAAACTGAAGCAGAGGAAGTTCCAGCTGAACACGAGGAAGAACTTCTTCCCTCTGAGGGTGACGGAGCCCTGGCCCAGGCTGCCCAGGGAGGTTGTGGAGTCTCCTTCTCTGGAGATATTCCAGACCTGCCTGGACAAGGTCCTGTGCAGCCTGCTCTGGGTGACCCTGCTTCGGCAGGGGGGCTGGACCAGATGACCCACAGAGGTCCCTTCCAATCCCTACCACTCACTCTGTGATTCTGTGATTATGAGCAGCAGCCAAGTGGATTCAGTGCTCCCACAGGTTAGCTAGAGCATTCCCCCCCCTTGCTTTACTGCTATGGCACAAGGCTTTATCACATGTGGGTGTGCTGTATATATAGAACAGGGCAAGGAAGGAGGAAGAGATTATATTTAGAGGTGGAATCCAACAGTGAAATGGAATTTTGGAAACACAAACCATACAATAACCGGTTCTGAAAACATTATGCCTGAATCTGAAACACATTTTTCAAATGACCCTTATGATCAAGAATCTCTTGTCTTTCCAAACAAGCATTAACTATCTCATGTTAAAAAAAATATTTTTATGGTGTCACTAGGGGCTGTCAAATAGTCTGGCCTTGCCATGGCCTCTTTGTGACACTCCAAAGCGGCACTTGCCAGGGGCTCAGGATGGACCAGATTTCTGTGCTGAGTTTAAACATGGATCACTTGCATCCCTGGTATCCTGGGAGCTTTATGTCACTGGGAGAAAGAGATCATCCCCATTTGTGTCCAGCTCTGAAATGTCTCGAGAAACTATTGTTTAAATTCATGGTATAGGAGCCTATACAAAAAACATTTCAGACCTCTACTGAGTGTTTTTGTCATAGGAACCGTGTAGCTCAGATTTTCTTTTAGAAAGACAAACATGAAAATCAGACCTCTACTGCTTGACTGGCTATATTTTAAATTCTCTAAAATTCTTCTGACCTTACATAGCTATGTACCAGATTGCAGACAAGACAGTGAAATTTAAAGACTTTCATCAACGTAAACTCAGGATAATCAGCATAATTCAAATGTAGTGAGATATCCCATATTCTGACAGATAAAGACATTTCTCTGTTCATGGTGGACACCAGAGAAGAGAAACTATGCACTTGTGACAGATGTGACACTCTTGCATAAGAGGTATTGAGGACTTTGTGAAATTGTACACACAACAAATAATTCTGGAAAAATCTTGTAGGTCTCTAAGCATGACACAAAGGCCATGTTACAGTTGTACTAAACACGACCGTGACATTATCTGGTACGCTGGTCACAACTACTTTTGCACTATATGATCCCGCCCACAGGCAACTACCTTTACGAGGGCTTGCAAAAGCCCTCAGATACTAGTAACAGCTTTCAGAAAGGCAGTAACACAGAAATTTACTTACTATGCCTCTAGGTTATATACAACTTTGGGGAGCATCCAAAGAGCTGCACTGTGCATCTCTTACAGGTTTCAGAACTGTGAGCACACAGTCCTGGTGTGATACTGATTCTGTTTTGGTTCAATGTTGCGCATTCACGCAGTTACTGGTCAAGCAGCGCAACATTTTTCCCTCTCTCTGTTCCTGC